GCATGTGCCATGCACACATAACCTCTTGGCAAATACTACAGAGAGAAGAAAAAGGGATGGGGAAGATAGGGAAAGGTGATACGGAGAGAGCATGGTGGGCATACTTGAGGCAAAGGGGGCCAGAGAGGAACTGCTGTGACCTAATGAACAGGACAAGGAAGAAGGCTGTTGGTATGGGAGAAATTAATACTTATTGAGAGATAAGGAAGCCAGTTGGGTCTTTGATTTCTGTATTTTCGTACATAGTTCAAAAATAGTTTAATTATTTCAGTGGTTCAAAACTACCAGCCGCTCCGCGGGAGAAAGATGAGGCTTTCTACTCTTGTAAAGATTTACACCCTCGGAAACCCTATACAGGGTCGCTATGGGTCGGAACCGACTCGACGGCACTTAACAATAACAACAACAATATACATATACAAGTTTTATGTGATGGGATAAAATCATAACTATAGTCCTGGTGTGGTGCTGTGGATTAATGTGCTGGGCTGTAAAGTCAGTTTGAACTGTAAGGTTAGCGGTTCAAGCTCACGAGCTGCTCCTTAGATACCCTATACAGGGTCACTATGGGCCAGAACCAATTCTAGGACACTTAACAATAACAACAACAACAACGTCTAATTACTTACAAAGTGCCCATCAACTGAAGAATGGATAAACAAACTGTGGTACATACACACAATTATACACAGAATATTATGCTACCTTGAAGAATAACAAGAAAGCTGCAAGCCACCGCATAACATGGATGAATCTTGAAGACATTGAGTAAAATTAGTCAGTCACAAAAGGTGAAATATTGCATAGGACCACTACTATAATAGACTAAGAAAAAGAACCCATACTAAAGTGGGGAGCAGATTCTTTGCTGGTTACCGGGATGTGGGGGGCAGGGTGAGGAAAGGGAGGAGAAGGTGGAACACAGGGTAGGGAATAGACACAGGATAGTTTGGGTGCTAGGAAAGGGGGCAATACACAAGAAAGGGAAGGGGAATGGAAGAACAAAGCAGACAGGTAAACAATTAGGCAGGTTTGCATGGGCTAAGGGGGACAGAGGTAAATAATGGTGTATGCACAACCTTGGAACAACAGGGATTTGGGATACAGGGATTGAGACATGGTTGGAACGAGCAAGGAGGGAAATAATGTTAAGATGCTTGGCTGTTTTTTGAATCTTGGCTTCTCTGGCACACCATTATAAAATAGACACTAGAAGGGAAGAGAAAGGAATAGCCAGAAATATCACCATCATCTGCCTGTAACTGATTTGAACACCTAAAATGGGGCTACAACATGCACAGTGAAGGAGGTTTCCTGCAGAGCCTCTGCATTACCTAAGACCAAAGTGGGAATCCTAAGCCCCATCCAGAATCCTCAGAGATGGGAAATTTCCAGTTGAAAGAACAAGCAGACCAGCCTGGAGTGGCTAGAAGAACAGAAAATACTTCTTGAAAGAAAGACTGACAGGAAAAATACAAAACAATATAGGCAGACCAACTGATTACTACAAGAAGAAGTAAGTTGCTCACCCAGGAGACATCAAGGCAAGTAGTCAGGTCCCCTCAGAGCAAACGCTCTTCCAAGACTAAGACTCATTGGGAATACATGCTCTGATCAGTGACCACGTTCGTCACTGGTAAGGGAAAGTGAGGGAAAAACAGAAATGAAGCTGTGAGCTAAGCCCGACAATGTTCAATAGACTCTTGTGAACCTGGGTGGAGATCTGGTTGGCCAGCAGTGTGGCAAGACCTGGGGACTCTTGGGCCCAGAGTCACTGACATAGCCACAGGGGACTCGAATGGAGAGAGAAGTGACCAGCTGATAAGAAGAGAGGGCATATGCACAAGAACACTCATACGTGCAGATAATACCCACTTGATCTGGCTTCAATGACTGGATGATCAGAGATAAACTAGAAGAAGAAAAAAAGAGTAATCTGATACAATAGGATGAACTTGACTTATACCCATGGATGTAGTAGTTTAAAAGAGGGAACAACTCTTTACAGCGAGGAACATTCCCACCCCCTCCATACACAAAGCAGAGCGGGATGGGCAACTTGGACATTGGCTACCCAAAATGGGGGAGGTGGAACCTACAAAGGCAAGAAGTGACTGTCTTACAAGCTTTCAAGAGGGAGCCTAGATCCAGAGGGCGCCGAGGATGGTAGAATCTCCACTGAGTTGTATCCAATCTTTCTGGGCAGGGCTGATAAAATGAGATGCAGATAAGGTCTCTTGTGATACAATAGTGAATAATTGTTATCAGGACTTATTGTGAGGGTTGAAACTATACAGGTAGATGTTTTGTAGCAAAAGGAGGGGAGTGATTGACTTTGGAGTCTAGGAGCAGATGTCCCTGGGACCATCAAGGGAGAAGAGCAGAGTGCAAGACCCTACCCAGAGAAGCAGTGATGCCAGAGATGGAGACAGAGATGATGACATGGAGAGATGGAGCGGCTGGGGACTTTAGACACAGAGAGGGAGAGGGGCTGTGTGAGGCCCTTTGGTTGGCTGATGATGCATGGAGGGGATTGTGACCATGGCAATGAAATGATATACAATAGGATGAATGTAAAGCTAATGTTCTCCTATGTAAACTATCACATAATTCACAATAAAACATAAAAAAAAAAAAAAGATTACTACTTTGGAATCCAAAAGAATAGTCACCATTACCTTTCCCTTCAGAGCAGTCAGCCTTACTCATCTTGGAGGTCCTTCCTTAAAACACTTGATTTACCTAAAAACTTATTTTAGGTGGTGGCTACATTCCGAGAAATGTGTTGCAAAGCTTCAATGATTTGGGAGGATGTCCCCTTGAGTTTTGTTAAAAATTTGATACTAGCCCTGATGTCAAAAACATTTTTTCTACAGCACAAAAAATATCCTTTTTTTATTTTTTTGTAAGACACCCTGATTTAACTAAGACAAGAGTATTACTGAGAGAACTTGTTTGCAGTCATGCACTGATCATACAATTAGTTTGAAATAAATCTATGCATGTATGAACTGGAACCCTAACAGCACACTTTGTATGTTCATTACTGGGTGATTGCAAGAAAACTACTATTTGTTTATACACCATGAAATAAAATTTAAAATAGGATTTAATAAGTGTATTATTTCTTTTAAAAGAATTTTAGGCAAACCCCAGCAAGACGGAAAATAAAGTAATTAAGTCAAAGTGGTCTCAAAATCACATTAAACTTACTTCCTTATCCTAGAGGTTCTTTTGGTTTTAAGCACTAAGGAAAGAGCAGGAAGTTTACAGTTGTTTCCCTGAGGAGGCTAGATTGAACATACACCGGTCCTCAGCCTCAGACTCCTGATGCTGCCTGGATGTTCTAACAACAATCAGACCGCTTCCAGGTGCCACCATGTTTTCCCTTGCCTACGCCCTTGTCCAGCAACAAGGTGGGGCATTCCCAGAGCCTTTATGCTTCTCTCTGCCTTAAGCACACACAAGGAATCTTCTTGACTCATTATTATAACATTAATCAACATCACATGGTTTTCATTCTTGTTGCAACGGTTCCCATTTAAAATTCTGAAACTCACTACTATACACATATGTGCTCTTTTCTTAGGATTATGGTATTCCTACAAAATCTTGTTATTTTTCCTGGCTCCTCAAATACTGACTTAAAGAGATGGCAGGCATTAAAGTGAATTTTCTAGTGAGACTTATGACCATCGTTTAAAAAAGTGAAATCATAATTTAAAAGCAATACTCACTAGCACATTCCACTCTAACGTTTCACTGAGAAAAGTTCTTCCATTCCATGGGCTAAAGCAACATACTTAGCATGCAGTTATTAGTGTTTTCTATAATTAAATGGCCCATGATTCTTCCTAGTCAAGGTTAACACCACAGTCTGCATTACACTAAACGAACACTAGGCAGTGCCAGAACCCGAAGGACACAGAGACTTGAGCATACATTTTGTCCTTTAACCTAGGAAAAAAGGAGGATGCCTTGGGTCACTAAGTTCTGTTCCTTTAAAATTTACACTTATCACTGCCATTTCTTTAGCTATCTAATAATGGCAGAAGCGTGTAATACCAGTTTGCTTGCTTTTTAAAAAAATTGTGAAACAGCATTTTGTGATTATAGTGTTTAAAAAAATCGTCAACAATCACTCAAACCAACTTTCACATGTTAACATCTATGGCACTTGGCTTGGATTTGACCAGTATGACAATAAATTGGACTATATTTTGGTCTCATAATTTTAAAACTGGTTAACGCAATTGCTTTAACCAGTTTTAAAAGTCTGCTGAGCTGGCTAAAAATGAATCTAGTGAATAAGTGAAGTTAGGGGTTGACCTGGTTTTCTTCTAGTAGTGTATCTGGCTAAAGAGACCAGAAAATAGACTAGAGATACACTTCTAACGGAAAACCAGGTCAACCATTTTTTTTACTAACTCACCTAGAGGGCTCTCAAAGCTGTAAACATTAGGAAAGTCAATGGAAATTTTTCTTTACAACAAAACTAGAGATGCATGTGTAACCAGTTCAGTTTGAAGCAATTGCGTTACCCAGTTTTAAAATTATGAGACCAAAATATAGTCCAATTTATTGCCATACTTGTGAAATCTAAACGAAGTGCCACAAACGCAAACATGTCAAGATGATTCTACAAATTCAAGACAATAAACCTAACTCCTTCAAAATTAAAAACATATTACAAACAAAATAAGCCATTTGATGGAACTAAAACATCTGTGTGTACAAGTTACTGTGAGGGTTTCAAAGGATCATTTGTTCCACTATATTATTAATTCATTGTTTATAACTGAGCATCTGGAAATTCCATTATACTAAGTACTCAGAGACAAAATCTGGTATCAAGTGTGCACTGTAGATAAAATATTTCTTTTTCTTCTCAAGTGTATTATGTTAGTAGGAAGCAACGAACACAGCATTTTAAATCAAAAGGTTATTTCGTTTTGGGGATGGACAAAGTTGAATGTAGACAGAAATCCCAAGTGTCCTACCTGAATGGGTCCTACAGACATGAGCAGGTTTTTCAGCTGGATGTCGGTAGTTGATGAAGAAAGCCCTTCCACCGATACAACACAGGGTTGCGGCTTGCACTCCACCACTCGCAAATTCGGCTTGTTGGGCATGAGACGGCCCCGACCCATCTGACCTGCTATTCCTCTGCCTCGCCCAAACATTATGACCTGGAAACAGCAAAAAGCAACTGGATTCTGAGTCTTCAGCTTCAAGGGTTTCCAAAGTTATTCATATATAAAACTAAGCAAGTTCCTTGGAATCAATTAAAATATACCAACCTATTATCAATTCAAATATAGAATGTTATGGTTATCTACCCATTATCAGAAAAGGTTTAAATGGCTCAGATTAAAAAAAAAAATTTTTTTTTTTTAATGGAGGGAATGAAGCAGCGACACTAGAGACAGAGAAAAAGGCTGTGTGCTGGCGGGAAGCAGGATGGCTTCTATAATGTGCCCTTTGGTTGTTTAAATGATCTTACTTCCTGTGTGGTTTTGTGTACATAAAAAAAAAAAAAGAGGCATTACTGAGGCAAATACTGTTTTAACCAATGGGGTATGAAGGGGATTGTAATCATTGCAATGAAACAAAATACAATTGGCTGAGTGCAAATCTGATGTTTTGCCATGTGAACTCTCAATTCACAATAAAAGCTTTAAAAAAAATTGGAATGATTGCAATCATTGTAATAAAACAAAGCATATGATTTCTTGAATATAAACCTTACTCAATTCACAATAAAAAGAGAAAAAAAAAATACACATGGAAATACGTAATCCAATGGACCAACCAGGAGTACTAATTGCACCTCTGCCTTTTACTTAATTAGGAATATTCAGGAGAGAATTCTGAACCACATATAAAGGAATACTTAGAAGGTTGGAAAGCTCACAGCTGGGCGAATTTTGGCAGAAGCAAGAAATCTATTGCTTTCTAG